AAAAAACGGACATTTTGCGGTGATGAGCATCACCGAATGGGTCGTGGCAGTTTGCAAATTGCAGAATGCGCCTCCATGGCTGTCCATCCTGCCAGAGTTATGCCGAGAGAGTCGGCCATCGTGACTATTCCCAATGAATCTTTAAGATCCTCAGCTGGTATCTGCAGAAAGATTTTCCTAGTGATCTCATAATCTTCCGAAAATAAAAAAACCCTTTGTAATTCAAAATTATGATTACCGTCTGGAGCATACTGTAAAAAGTATTAACATAAGCTCCTCCACCGAGCAATCCCTCCCAGAAAGTCACTGCGAAGACTATCCAAATATTCGGAATATAAAAAAAAATTGCCTCCGTCGAGAACAACACCACATTTAAGCCCTAGAAAAATATTTCTGGTTTATAAGTATTCTCTTAAACTATTACCATAACAGGGGTGATATTACCTGAAGAATAGCTATCACCCAGACTTTTTTGAAAGTAATAAAAGCAGCGGATGACCTCGAGATGAAAACACCAATTTGATAATCAACCTGAAGCCACCTGTATTGATCCGAGTGACTCAACCAAATTCCATCGAATTGAATGAGTTCGTACTGCCAAGAAAAAATATGAATTTAATTGATCGTGTAATTTTCATTGAGACTGCAGAACTTACCAAACCCATATTAATAAAATACTCGAAAAAATAAACGAGACTTAGGGGTATCAAGTACTTCATTAATTTCGGTAGAAGTCGAAACTTCTCGGGAATAGTTTTCTTCGGCATCTTCACGATTTCCTCTTGACTGTCAATACCATATTTTACGATTGGTTGCTCTGCTGGATGTACCAGGAGAAGCCAAAATGCAATGGCCTGAATAACAGGAATAATGAGCATAGTGAGTAAAGCATTTTCCGAGGTCATAATGACGGTCAATCCAGCATATGAGAAAGCACCGATGATGCCAGCTCCACCAGTACCAGAAGACCAGGACGCGATACTTTCTCTGTGAAGAAAAAATTGCGGCTGAAGGGATTTATCATTTATTAATCAAAATTGATTAATCACCGATTCTTACTTTCCAAATTTGTGACTATAGCTAACAACAGAGACCTCGCCGAGACCTGATGAGATGGACGTGAGGATGACCCCGAAAATGGTGATCCACTGGGTTTCACCGAGGGAAACAGCCAGAAATCCTGATATTGAACACAGGACGCAGGTCATCATGCGAACACTGTAATTGTCGAATAAGACGGCCTTGCCGTGATGAAACATCGAGGAACACGGGCTCATTACCCCCTGAGATTCGTCAATAACGTGGCCGATAGATTCGAAATCTTCAGATGACAAAAATCATCGCAATTGCAAATACTTACTGAATAAAAAACGGTAGAAATGGTACCATTAATTTTACAATAAGACAAGGTACAATATCCGCGAGAAGAATAGCTCCTGTTGACACTGCATTGCAGCCTCGAGAGTCTCTCGTTGTATTCGTTATCGAGCTGCTCCCATTATCGTGTTCCTGAAAGTCCAATTAATATCGCTAATTCATTAAAAATAAGATTGTTGAAAAATATGAAAGTATCGGGGAATTTTTATTGCACGTACGTGAGTTCCGAATTTTGAAGCCAATATGTCATGGGCTGCTGTGAGGACCACCACATATCCGTAATTATTGCAGAGTCCCAGGAACCAAAACGCGAGGAGATTCCTCCACCTTGTTGCTCTCGAATTCGACTCGACATCATTGTGTTCACTCTTAATCGAATGAGAGACTGTCACCGATAAATGTCCCATCAATTAAAATTAAATACTCCGACGCATATTACGGAATATTATCCTCTTATCACACGTGACATAATCTTCATGGAGATTAATTAAAAGAAGATTAATTTAGTACAACCGTAATTAAAAAAACTGCTCTTGACAATGATTTGATAATTTTCCTCTCGATGCTCCGGTAATTAAAATCAGTTCCTGATAATTTTTGTTTTTATGAATTATGGGTTGCAATTTTTTCATTTAACATTATAACCGCGGTAGCATCCGGTAGTCAATTGATATTGAAAAGACGACGGTCAACCAATTTGACGTGAAAATCTAGCTCCTGTCAACGAATGGCCTTGATGGCTCGATATTTGAATGCCAAAGCCATTCATTTCCGCGTGAAATCCTCGACATTCTTTTATCGCAACATCGTGATCGCACGCAACGGGGTCAATGAAATCGCAAATGATATTATCAAATTTCATGGTGCTTCGGTTACACTGAGTGATATGATGTCACGGCTCCACTCTGCTCGATATAAAAACAGTGGAAAAGTATGAGAATTCTTTTTTTCCGATGAATTACAGCGTCCTCGTCCTTGTCAACGCTTTAAATTTATAATATTGAGAATTTACAGACAGATGGTACTAAATTCAAAAGATGTCATCACATCCCGCCATTTGGCATTCATCAAACTGGAAGATTTATTTTTGCCTGCACTGGCAATTTCGAGAATCGTTTCAGAATTGTCCATCGACGAGAGTAAAACGTGATCACGTGGATTCAATTGAATCAGATTGATCTGTTCCGAAAGGTTCAATTGATAAGTTCGACTGCAAATCCACGCTCGTCTGCTTCTCTACGTACAATTTTATTCGTATCAAGAAAATCGGCAGTTGATAATTTAATATAAATAACAAAGTTCGATTCAGCATGCGAAAATAATGATTAGCGAGGGAACAACAACGTTTCAATGGATAAACTAATTTCACAATAATTATGTTGGATTTGCTTTGTCATAGATAACACGGGTAAAATACAGAACGAGTAAAATCCGAAAATACTCACTCACATGCGATGGTTTCAATAATATTATTACGAAATTTAAATGCAGCGACAACTTCGTTTTAACTACTGGTCGTACGAAAGACAGATTTGATAAAAAAATTTCCTCGTGTGATGACTTTGCATGACACCTTGAAGATCTTAATTTATCGAATTCATTGACACTCAAAGTGTTATGTGGCCTTCATATAAATTATGCCAATGGATTTTCTATGCGAAATCTAAAGTCGAGGCTTCATTGATAGAAACGAGGTACATGACAGCGGAAGTGAAGCATTAAATTTTTTTTTAACATTAAGAATGGAAAAATGTGACGAAAATATTGTGAGTAATAAAATAAAACGAACATGACTATAATCAGTGAAGTGAAATAGAAGCGCAACGGCTGCTTTCATTCAACGGTTTTCAGAGAAACGATTGTGCCTCAGAATTGATTGGTCTGTAATCATCATAACGTGAAACACTTCAAACAAGGAAGGAGAGGAATTCTCTCGTCCTTCAGAAACTTCTGGAGCCAGAAGATCTTGTATTCATAATATTGTTTTCACGTATCCCCACTTGACGCATTTCCAATGCAAATACAGATAAATGTACACCTGAAGGGTCATAAATACCGAAAATACTAAAAATTGAGACGAGTCAAAAGATAATTTTCAAAAATAGAAGGTCAAAATATGGAATATCAGGAAATACCTTTTCGAACGTCCATCGTACATCCACGTAATTATTATTTACGACTCCTGAGGTTATTTAAACATTTGATATCCTAGGGAAATTAAAACTGGAGGAAATCACCGAACACGACCAGTCGTATCAGCAGCGGTGGAGACACTGGCATTTCTTATCTCATTACACTCGGTACAAGTCACTTCGCCAACTATTTCCGCGAATAATAAATATCGAGGCTCTCTGTGTTCGCCAGGATTCCCAGGATTAATCAATCACCAATTGCATCACCAATGAGAGAACAATGAAAAACGAGAAAAACACATTCCACTCGTTTAATTCATGCATTTATCATTATTCCGAAAACCAGACAGGATTTTCCACTTGTCTTGTCTTTTCCACAATTCCATAATTCACGATTCACTTTGGAAATCTGGGAGACTGAGAGCTGTATTGAATTATTGAATATCTTTGGAGAATATTTTTTTACTCTGAATAATAAAATTACTCGGTATTGCAAATAAAAATTGGAGATGTTACTAACAATTTACCCGCGAACATTCAACATTTTCGAAACGAATTAGTCTAGGGGGCACCACTGGAAATCACACACACATTTAATTAATTCAATTCATGTGACGTCAAATAGATTAATTAACATTTATTGTGGGAGACACGTCTAGTCCATTTGTAAATAAACTCTTATATGAACTGAGGAAAAATTAATTAGAATCTACATGCACTTTCGTGGCTGTTGAAGTGGCTGAGAAATTATTTGCATTTCAAAATTAACCTCAAAGTATAGAACATTATTTTTGGAGTCATCAGCTGATTTAATTGCAATAATAACTCTCAGTAATTATGGGTAAAACATCAAAAGACAAAAGGGATATTTATTATCGAAAAGCCAAGGAGGAGGGGTGGAGGGCTCGAAGTGCATTTAAATTGTTGCAAATTGACAATGAATTCGAGATTCTGAAAGGTACGTTATTCCGTCAATGGGTTGTTATAAATAAATAAATTATATTTTAATTAACTGAATGTTTCTATAGGCGTCACTAAAGCTGTGGATTTATGTGCTGCTCCAGGGAGTTGGAGTCAAGTCTTATCACGAAAATTGAAGTTAATATTCATAACAATGATCATTTAAAGTACAACGATTTCATGGAGACATTTATCACTCACATTTTTGCAGTGAAAATCATTCTTTGATCCTGAAAAAACGAGAAGAAATAGGAGATGGGGTTGAGTCCGTCGAATTAGATCGACCAAAAATTATAGCAGTTGATCTGCAAGCAATGGCCCCTCTGGAGGGTGTAATTCAAATCCAGGGTGACATAACAAAAACTTCCACCGCTGAGGAGATCATCAAACATTTTGGAAACACAAAAGCTGATTTGGTCGTGTGTGATGGTGCACCTGACGGTAAAATTCCATTTTTCCTCTCACTCAATCCAAACCCGGAATAAATTAATATGAATAATTGCAGTCACTGGATTACACGACATGGACATCTACATTCAATCTCAGCTATTATTAGCAGCTCTCAATATTACTACTCATATCCTGAGCCCGGGAGGAACATTCGTTGCAAAGATATTCCGTGCCAAGGAAGGATCTTTGCTCTACTCGCAATTAAAAATATTTTTCACTGACGTCTTCTGCGCGAAGCCGAGTAGCTCGAGGAATTCAAGTATTGAAGCATTCGTTGTGTGCAAAAATTATTCACCACCAGACGATTATAAACCGCACATGCTGAATCCCCTGCTCACCCATGAACCTTTGAATTTCGATCAATTGACAGGAATAAACAGATACGTCGTACCATTCGTTGTTTGTGGAGACTTGACACAACCAGACTCTGATGCTTGTTATCCTTTGAATGTAAGCCCTTCATTGGATTTTTATTAACAACTTCTTATAAATTAAAAATTCCGCTCTCAATCCGTTATCTGTTCAGATTCCTCCTCAATTCAGATAACCCTATTTCCTTCTCAGTATTTGCCTTACTAATACAATCTCCAATATCAACAACACGACAAAATGTCCCCATTAAATGAATTTATCTTCTAAACACCCGATCGACATAATCTAATTAATTTCTGCAATCAGTGGTATCAAAACTCATCGGTATCAATTCGATTGATTGTCATCAGCTCGATGGAAACATCTACCAACACCATGATCCAGTTCAAGGACCCCTGCAATCTCCATACGAAGACGCAATGAAACTCGCAGCTCGGGATAATTTACGGAAAGTAAATTCCAGTGTCGTTATCCATCACGATAACCCACCATCACAATGCGAAAATTCGAATACAGATGAACCGAAACCGTCAACTGAACCCACAAGTAGTATTGGAAAAATTCGTGATGCATTTGTCGATTTAAATATTGCAGACCAATAAAAAAAAATCATAATAAATTTTAAATATCTCAGAGAAATTTCTACAGAGCCAATAAAGAACTAGAAGAAACTATACAAAACGTTCATTATTTCCCCAAAATCCAGAGGTAAATATTTAATATATATTTATATCTTTCCCCTTCCCAACTGAAATGTCAATGAACGAAATAATCCCAAGAGTTGCGAATCAAAATAAGAAAAGAACCTGAGGCGATCAAGCCGAGTAAACAGATAAATAAAGAAAACAGTCTCAGTACATCGAGTGAAAATCGAGGAACAAGTGTATTTACCAGATATGGCTGAGCTCGAGGTATAAAACTATTCCGCAGGTATCAGTAGCCCTTCGACTATAAAAAAATTTCACTTTCACCGATTTTCATCAACGCCTCAATGCATTCCAGCCAAATCGTTGTTACGCCTGCAAGAAACTCTTCTGTTGCGTGGATTGCTGTACAAATCACATAAGAAATAAGCATCCAGGTCGTCAATCCGAGTGTCCCCTCTGTCGCTCGGAAATTCTCATCACCCGTAATTTCAATAATTCCCATTTTTTGTGTCACGTCGTGATCAATCATCTGCCACTGAAATGCCGATACTGCGGTGATTTCTTTCAGTGCAGTGCTGATCTGAAGAATCTGGGGACTTGTTCACGTCGTTTATTGATACAAAAAGATAATATTATTAATGAAGGGCACTCAGTAGTCGCGCATGGGCCATCACCACTGACTCAAACTCCCCTAAACCCCGTGAATCAGAGCAAAGGATATTCCATCGAAGGAGACTATAACTCCAACTTCGAGGACCTGACGTCACCACCAGAATTTACAAGACACACGAGTACCCCGATGCAGATTGGCATATCCAGAAAAACAACTGGTTTTATTTTCAAGACTCCGAGAAGTCCGAATTTCTCTCTGAAAACCCCGAAGACACCGACGTGCGTTCTCCAGGATAAAAATCAAGCTGGAGAAGCCGGTGAAGACAGTAAAAGTAGCTACAGTAAGACAGATACACCTCTAATTTACAAGAAACAATTATCACGCGAGAGCAATTTGCAGGAACTGCTGGAACAGTCTGAATCCGTTTATCTCAGTTTCTCTCCATCGAGGAGACAGAATTTGTCAGAGAGAGCTTCGCTCAAGTCTATTTTAATGAGTAAATCACCTGGGGAAAATTTTGAGCCCCAGAAGGAGAGGGTGCTCGAGGGCACCAGCACCGACATGGATTTGACGGAACCCATGGGGTTTACTCCAGTCCCTCTTCTCAAAAGTGATCCAGAGGAAAGAACATCCATCGAGGGAGTCTTCAAGTTCCCCCCCGAGGTGAGAGATTCGGGAAAGAGGGTGAGGTTCTCGGATCAATTCGAGGTGCAGAAGGTGCCAGATACTAGTCCGAGTAAATCTCCTGTGACTGATATTGAGGAATTCTTTGAGGCTCGACAGAGTCTGTCAGAATTCACGGTCATCAATTCTGATACGTCACCGGGTGAACAGAAAGAGGATAAAGCCAAAGCCAGTCCTACGACCAATAATAATTTCAGTCCGACTAGGTGTGAAGAGAACGAAGAAAATCGAGGGAACAAGGAAAATATTGAGAATGCAAATATCGAAAAAGGCACTCCAACTGGAAAAAATAATGAGAATGAGGGACATAAATATGTGAGTACTAAAGTTTCAGAGACTTCACGAGTGGTGATGATGGTGCTGGTGGAGAAGACCGGGGACAGTGGTAATGTGGATCTAACTCCACTCATCAATTCTGGTTTAAAGACTTTGGAATCGGTGACCACAGGCATGAACTCTGGAGAATCTCCAGTCTCGACGGGGGAACATCCTGACGTGCAGAAAAAGCTCGCTGTTGTTTCGGTTGATACTTATAAACGTATCTCAACAATTGAGCGTTGCCATAAGCCAGAATCTCCCGGAGACTTGAGTCAGAAGAGAAGATCTGATAAATCTGAGAGCAGTGGAAGCCTCTTATCTGCGGTTGCCAATGCTGTTAGGACCGCATTTAAAAATATCTCAGAAGCTGTCACAACTAGACATGTCATGGGCGAACAAGAGGGCTCTCGAAAAATTCCAACGATTCAAATACACCCTCCGGATACACCAGCCCCTTCTGTCCGACCTCTGAAACGAGCGAGAGACGATTTAATTTCGCTGGATGCTGCGGAAGTTACGGCGGCTGGAGCTACTGATAGTGATGAATCAAATGATATTCGGAGTCCAGAGCAGAAGAGACCTCGTGCTTGGTACAGGCAGATACGTGGGAGGGATCCAATCGCGAGAATGAAATATAGTTCGATACTACCGAGCAGAGGTATCTCTAATGAAACTCAATGCTTTCAGCAAGGATCGCTGTCCGTTGGAGATACCATTCTACCTCTACCCTCTCGTGCCCATCAATCGACGCAGACTGATCGTTGACGAGAAAATAACGGGTGTCTATGATTATGCATTTTTTTAAAATACACGCAGATGAAGTTTAGGTTTTTTAGGATTTGATGGATAAAGATTGAGTTACTCTTTGAATTAAAAATTTGAATGCAAGGAAGGTCGAACTTTTTTTGGGCTGTTTAATTAGAGAGTTATTGATATTCTCGTCACGTTTTTTATCTGAGAATTTTCCACACTTCCCTCAATTCCTATTAATATAATAGTCAAAGTTGTATAAAGGTATATATTTTATTAGAAAATTTACAGGTAGAGTATTTCGTAGCTGACATTTTTGGGATTTTCAGATCTTGGGACTGAGATCAGTGTGAAGTTTCTCGATTGCTTGCCATTTCCATAATCGTCTCTACATTGATTATGTCACGATGCTCCTTCAGCATTCTGAACATCTCTGGTTCATCGATTATCGTCGTACTGACAGCACTTATGATATTCGTAATTAATCTTCTGGAGATGTTTATTTTTTTAATCAAATTATTCAACTTCTGCTTTTTCCTGGAGTGAAAAAAGAAATTTAGTGTCGAAGGGCTGTGCAATAAGAAATATCAGGAAGATTTCGAAATTACTTTGCAATCTCTGGATTTGATACTGCTAGTTTCTCATTCCGAATTTGCTCCTGCTCTTTGAGAAAAGTCTGGAAATCAATGACACCTGCGGCAACATCTGCTTGCAGTTGTCTCTCTTCTGCCTGTAAAGACTCGATCTCCTCTTGCAAAACAATCAGCTTATCATTCTGGCTGTACAACTTCGCCATGACTTCTCGCAGCTTACTATAAAAATAGCGTAAGTAATTGACTGTGAATTAATTTGGAGGAAGATTAGGATAATTGCCTGGTGAGTTCTGGAGAGATTTCATCGTTCGCAAGAAGATTCTCTACTGCATGAGACTGCACAGTGCCCCTGAATACTTCATATTTGATTAATTGATGAGATGATAATGCCTGGTGCATCTTTTTTTCCAGATCTTTTGGATTCGCTGGAGGCATGTTGGGTGTCACTTCTAAAAAAAAATCCCCAACTTATCCCGTACATTTCTAAACCATTCAACAAAATTCGTACATACTTGCGTCATTTATAGCTCGAAGCAGTTTAATCCTAGCTGTCAATGCCCTTATTCTCTCTCTGGAGTCTCTTATTTTCTCTTGAGTTGGTTTAAAATCACTGAGAGTCACAACTCCAATCGGAACATTACAGATTGTACTACGAAGTAATGCTGTTGCTCGCTCCAATTGCTCACAAGAATCCATTTTTTATTTTATAATAAAACCCACAATATATACCGTCACCATAGAAAAATACAAAAAAAAATGTATATTATTCTGAGGTTATGGGTTTATATCAACAGGTTTTAATCCCGCGCAAATCGGTATATGTTCTAGTAAATACTATCAGATGGCGACACATACTCCGTTTAAACCGATTGACCATGGATCAATTAAATTTGAAATTTTCAAAATTCAATCCGATTATAAAATTAATTATTCAAAATATTGAAACAGGTAATTAATTTCTTAAAATTCATAGAATAATGAAAAATAGAATATATTCCACCTACTCCAATGTATTTTCCATAAATTCGGAAAATGCATAGAATTGAGGATATTTATAAATTTTTTATACAAAAAAAAATCCCATGTATAAAAAATTATTTATTTCCTCAGTATCAGTTTGTTCCCTCGATGCGCATATTAACGATTAAATTTAGCAGAAAGACTGCACCTCCTGGCCCAGGGCGTGCCACCCACGTATCCCCATCCTGGCCACCCCCAGAGTCCCAATTTTTTAATTTCATCCAGAGCGATTAATGGACCACTGAAGTACGTGTGTGTCGGCATCTTAACCCCGACGCACTAGGTTAATTACTCGGGCACGCGATCGTCCCGGCAGCCCCCGATAAGTGCAACAACACCTCCATATGCATATTTAAGATTCAACATACGGGATAGAAATACATACGGTATGTGCGTTTAGATCGTCACGCGAGAAGTGCAGTGCTCGTCTTCTACCCCCGAGTGGTGCCCATAAATCTTGGCATACGTTGGTCATGATTTATCCGACGATTTCGTCAGGGCTTGAGACTCAAGCGGCATCAGGAGACATCTTAATTAGACGATGGATCCACCTTCACCCCATTATCCAATTATTGACTCCAATATTCATTGAGATGGCAATTTTCCACATTCACCTAGTGTGATTCCCCGCAAATGCTGTAATTCCTTATTAATTTTTTTATATTGAATTGAGAGCTAGTGGTCTGGTCGTACTTTATGCTTAGGCGAGGCTGGAGAAAGGATTTGCAGTGTTAGTTCTGATTGTAACGACCTGGCGCCTTCTTGTTATCTATTGTCATGACAGGGTCCGTTGATCACAGAAATGGCATCACAGGTTTTTCAATAATTTTCACTAGTACCCTTGGTGATTTTGTTTTTATCCCGTGGGTAGTAAAAAATTTGCACAAAATCGCCGAGTCGATTGGACTCTCCCAGGATCCCGTCGATGCCTCTCATCCCAATTAGTCCCCCGGCGAGGTCAAGGGGTCGTGGCTTCCCCCTCGTGTACGGGTCATGGCCGAATTCTTCTCGCGGTATAACGAGAGACCCTCCATTGCATCCTGCATTAATTGATTTTTTTTATTTTTTTCTCCAATGGAATTTTACGAGTTACGTTTCATATTTATTTGTGATTTTTATCCACTGGGTCAAGCGTGAAACAAATTGCCCAGACAATTGGCATAAATCGTTCTTTTTATTTTGACACTTTTTGCACGTGGGGCGCGTGTTGAGCCCCGGGGTAAACTCCGGCGTAGGCGACGTTGATCTTTCCCGGGTATTAATGATTATCGTACGTTAATTAAGCACTCGCCTTCGAGGTATACAGCCTCGAATATGCAAATAGCTCTACAAAAGAAGACGTAGGGATATCCGTGGTACAGAGCATTGAGATTAAATCTCACCGCCTTTCCCTCGTCTACTGGATTATAACTAGAATAAACACGCAAATAGGAACGATATTGTAATATTGAATAGAAAAATCTGAGTTAATTGAACGTTTGAATACTATTGTGAGGATTGATAAACCCGCGAGACTGAAATAATTTATCACTTTTCCGATGGAGTCTCGAAGTGATTTGGTAACAGCATTTGCTCATTCTCTGGATTTGTCACGCGGTCAATTTATCATTGCTCTCGTGACCTGGACAGAATTCATTTCTCCAGTATTTCACATTTTTTTAATATATATTTTACCATGAAGTTAATGTCTAGAGGCTTATTCGGGGGATTTGAAAAATCCAGTTCTGAGATATTTGAAAGGCGAGCATTTGGATAGATTCACGTGTGTGGGGGACTTTGATCGTGCAATATAACAATGGGTTTTCAATTTTTTTTTTTTCTTATCTTGTGATCCAACAGACTCTGGGACACATACAAGTTGGGAGATTGGTTCACGCGCGGCGCGTGTCCGCTCGGTACAAACTGTATTTAAGTACAGGATGTGTGTTCAGAGGTCGGAGAAAGCCGTGAGATTTAATCGTCCAATGGGTCAACTATGACCCCAGACCGAGGCGAGTATAACGCGTATTGAAAGTATTTTTTTTTTCTCAATAAAAAAAAAGAGCAGTAAATAAACCGATAACTGAATTTTCTACACGGAGTTGGGATTGAGGGGTGCGAAATCTCTTTTGTTTTATCTAGATGGAGGATTCCCATCGTGAATAATCTCTCTCCTTCATCTCCTCCTTCCCACAATTACCCATGGAGCAAAGAAGAGTACAGACCATTGAAAAAAAAAAAAAAACAGCCCAAGGTTTTTGGTCACGCGAGCTCTCGCGCGTGGCGTGACGCAGAGGGACGTATTTCCCTCCGATGTTTTTGTGATTGCCCGCACGAGAGTTTACCGGGTCTTCATCAAACTTGCGAGAGGATTGAAGCTGAAGAGAAAAAAAAAATACCTCGAGAAGGGTTGGAGGTCGATGAGTCCCCCCTAGCCCATCGATTACATCCCGATCCACCCGATCAGATCGAGATTATTCCCGACGATTATCCCACCATCTTTCCTCCCCGACTCGCAAATTTTTTTCCATTTCCATCTCTCATCTCTCAGTACATTTATTCCCCAATTGACTCATCTAAATTAATTTCACCCAATTAATTACGATAATTACAATCTCTAACGATTTGAATTGCCATTGGGAGCGATTTGGCTGACCGATATCGAACTTCTCTCCTTTTTTCACCGAATCTTTTTTTTTTTTGAGGGAATTGAATAAAATCTGTGGAGAGGCCGACTATCAGAGAGTCCTGATGTTTGCTTAACATTCAAATACACGATACATAGACGTATATCCTGTGGTACAGGCAAGAGAGCTGCCCACGCGATCCAGCATCAAGGCTGCATCATAAGGCGCATTGTGAGTGGCGAAGTACCACATTGGGATAAAGCCTCTATAGGTATTCCTCCAATAAAACGAACAACACCAAGGTTTATATAGCCAGTATATAGTATACAGTCATGTGGAGATAAGGACGTTCGCACAGCGAAACAATAAGGGGCGTGGTACACAGTACGGAGCGTTACATTTCCTTTAGAGTATCCACTATTTCATTATTTAGTTGACGCATTTGGCATTATCAATTGTCATTGGGGTTCATTATCGTTGGTGTGAGCAATGGGGAGGAATAAAATAATGACTACGGAGTGATGTATGCTATAACGTGGTGGAGAAAGGACAGGGACAAGGTCGCCTCGAGACAGAGATTCGAGACTCTCCACAATGTTGCTATCTGTGCTCTTTCGAGACAGCTGCTTGCAGATGCACGTACGTCGGTCAACACGTTTATGCCAGAGAACTCACTTGAAAATCATTGCATCTTTCTGGGAACGTTTACTCTCACTGTCCACGGACGAATGAATCGGCTTGACGCTAGTACACTGACACACAATTTTGGATCTTAAACTTGGAGGGGGGTAAGTTAATGACACGGGGTACTTAGAATTACACCGACAATTCCACGTATCCAACTCAATTGACGTACACCAGGAATCACCGCACTTGTATGTCACTTTTTTTTCTCTATTTTTCCACGAAAAAGTCCCTCGATGACTTAATTATTTGATCGGTAATGGATTTTCACTCTGTCCTGATGGATTTGACTTGACAAGATGGAATAACGATGTTAATAATACGGCAGTGCTCCCCAGGGCGGAGATGATCGGTCATTTTCTCGATCATAGATCTCGCTATTTATCCCTGCACATTTGAGTTGAACGATCACTTCCGGCAATTGAGAATTTCCACCGCCAAGTGATTTCCGATCGTCACGCGATTCGTGATTTGTGGAAAAATTAGTGAATCGACTAATCACGAATGAACTTTCCCCGCAATTCACGTGTACAATACTTTGATTGGTCTACCTTGGAGATAATGTAAAAATAATTTCATTAATTAATCTTGAATAGTTGAATATTTGATGACGTGTTAATTCGCTTTATGTGGCTCTGTCTGAATATTTTCAGCGATGGGATTTACGACAGAAATAATGAAAAATTGTCGCCCAGAGGGGAGTGAATAGCATTGATAATTACCGCTCCGATCGAGAAGTACCTCTGATACGATATGCCATTAACGCAACGCTGGATTTTATCCCTCGGTCTTGACTTCGCACTATGTGCGAATACATACCCAAGTCAGTTGGGCATGTAGTCAGGCACTCTGGTTCTGCAACTCGTTTCTATCCGATGAGAATAAAAAGTCCAAGTCCCTGCCAAGATATCACCCAAGATGGCATTGCGCCTCGTTTACTCTCCTAACTCTTCGATTTATCCCCTAAGAAATAGTTCCGCAGGTATTCAACAGGCCAGGATGAATCCCCACTGCTTGATGTATTTATTTTCACAGCAATCACCGACTCGATTGAATTTATCCAATTAACGAAATAACCGAAAGTGTCCATCAAAAAAAATTGGCAAAGGAATAAAATTAAATAAGAACTCATCCTCGTGGAGATACATTAACGCAAATTTTTTCTGATTTCTAGAGAAATTCAAGTGAGAAAGCATTTGTAATTGGACACTGTTTACGAAATGCAATACACCTCTGTGCACATGATGGGCTCGAGATTCTTCGGGGATTTAAGACGCACGTGCGTTGGTGAAGGCAAACTCCACCAAGAATTGACGTATAAAGTGACACGACAGCTGGTAAGCCTTTACCCAGCGCGTGCTTTACATCAAACATCATTTTATTTTCATATCGCTTTTAGATTCATCGCCAATTACTTGATCCCTCTGGCAATCGTCACCCAGTTCTAAGTATACTGTTGAATATCGTGAAA